ACTGTATAGTCTAGGCTGGCCTCAAACTTAGACCAGTCTTCCAGCCTCAGCCTCTGAGTGCTGAGATCATAGGCTGACACCACTGTGCTTGGCTCTTTTTAAATGGGGGCTAAGCAGAAGCTCCTTTCTTGTCAATGATTTCACAGTCCTTTTCCTTTTTCTCATATTCTGCCCAAGGATCTGTCTCTTTTCTGGGTGATTGGTATTAAGACTATGCTTCAGGAGATACTCCATTCCTTACCCTTCCACATTAGCAGCAACTGTTCTGAAATATTAGGAGTCAGCAAGAGGAGTATACACTTGCAGCGGTGTGGGATGGAACATATTTGCTTTTATATCTGTTTGCCACCCAGAGTCCTGGCATTGATAAAACTTTGATGTAACCTGGAAACATGGTCATAACACTCATTTATAAATCAAAGCATAGCTAACCATCATATTTTTGTTATCTTTGAAAGGAAAATTCTGTAAAACTTTGCACTTATATTTATTTTTGTTTGATGCTTTATAATTTTTCCTGTTTGATTTTAATATGAACAAATAATGATACCATTTTTATTATGCTATAGATCCTGAATGTTGGTTGAAGCAGTTTTTAAAAGAAACAGTGGTTTGAATCCAAAAGCATCTAGATCCTGGACTGATTTAATTTGTACAATTAAGTTGTAAATGGTTTCTAAAATCTTTCCTTTTTATTTTATTCTCTTGTATAACATGTCTCTATTTTTTCTACTAATGATTAAGTAGAGTAAGAGATGCCAAAGCATCTCATTAAAAAATCAAAGCAAACCAGTCTTTTCTTTTATGTATGTATCACATAGAAGCTTATTCTAGGAACTATTTTAAATAAATAATTATAAAGAAATGATACGGTGAAATCAGTGTGTTTACCATGGGTTATCTGCATTGTGGGTTATAGGGTTTGAAGTTATTGAAGAAATTTGTTACAGGCTAAGGAAATTTTGTGAGTAGTTGGATACTTGACAAGTAAGCTATAGCTATAGTAAACTACTTGCTGCTCTGTTAAAAAATAAAGATTGCTTGCCTTAATTTTGAAACTGCCGCTCTTACTGTTGTATTTTTTTTTTAAGTCATAGATATCCCAGTGAGTATAAAATGGCCTACTTCCAGTGTTATAATGTATCTAGTATATCTAATATATCCTTTTAGAGGTTTTTGTGGCTATTTGTATGTGTGTGTTTATGATTTTTTTTTTTACTTCTATAAAGCAGATTCATAAGGCCAGGTATGGTGGTGTACACCTATAATCCCAGCTTTTGGGAAGCAGAGGCAGGAGGATTGTTGTGAGTTCAAGACCAGCCTGGGCTGCAAAATGAACTTAAGGTCAGCCTGAATTGCATAAGGTCAGCGAGAGTGTCTCAAAAAGACAAAACAACAAACATCCCCCTCAAAAAAACAAAAACAAAAACAAAAACAACAACAAAGAACAGACTCATAGCACCTATTCACTTACATAATCCGTCTTTTAAAAACTTGACTGTATGTTATGACAACTTTCAATATACCATATATAAATACCAATTTCATTAGCTAAAAGTGTTATCATTTTAACATAAATTTAATGTGCCTATATAACTACCAATGAATCTATTATGATGAGACTCTTTTTATTTCTTTTTTTTTGAGGCAGGGGGTCTCATATTTCAAGCTGCCTTCAACTCACTCTGTATCCCAGACTGGTCTTGACCTTGTAGCAGTCCTCCTACCTCAGCTTTCCAATGCTGGGCTTATAGGAATGCACCACCATGCCTGGCATGATGAGACATTTTGATTGTCTCCAGTGTTTTGCATTTTTAAATGGTGCTGTTCTGCACCTTTAATTTCTTGGGATAGAAGGAGAAGCAGTAAAGTTTATTAGTAGTACAGTTAAAAGTGTAGGATGGAGCTAGGTGGTCTGAATTTCATTTCTGGTTTTGTCTTGTAGTAGTTTTGGTACTAGATAAACTACTTAATTTTTCTAGTCTCAGTTTCTGTATATGTAAGATGAGATAATAGTAGTGGTATCTGTCTCATAGCTTTTGGGTGAAGATTAAGTAAGTAAAAAAAAACACTTTTTTTGTAGTAATGGAGGGTTAACTCAGAGGTACTCTACCACTGAGTTACATCCCTATCCGCCCCCCCCCCCTTTTTTTTAAAGAAACAGAATTTTCCAGGTGGGACTCAAATTGAAGATCCTCTTGCCTCAGCCTCCCTGAATGCTGAGATTACAGGCATGTGCCACTGTGCCCAGCAAATTAACACATATAAAAAGTTTTAAATCCTTGAAGTAGAGTTTTTAGGTCAAAAAAGATGTATGTTTTTATGGATATATGCTAATTTCTGCTAAGTCTTCCTTCCTAGGAACCACATCTCTTTTCTTTGCTGTGCTAGAGAAAGTGTCAATCCTAGTTACTCCTATCCTTAAGCTGGCCCAGTTAGAGCCATCTTTGGTTTCTCCTCTTCTTTTCTTTTTCCTTCTCCTTTTTCCAACTTCCTCTTCTCCCTCTTCCTCTTTTTTTTTTTTTTTTTTTGAGACAGGGTCTTATTATGCAATTCGGCTGGCCTTTTGCTTACTTTTGTAGCCCCCCAGCTGGTCTCGAACTCCAAGATATCATCCTGACTCAACCTCTTGGCCAAGACTGCATGGCATGTGGGGCTGGGATTGGGGATTGAACTCAGGTTCTTGTGCTTGCCAGTTAGGTGCTTATGCCTCTGAGCTGTCCTTCTGGCCCCTCCTTCTCCGTCATTTGCTTGTGTGTGTGCTTGCTTGCTTGTTTGCGCTCTCTCTCTCTCTCTCTCTCTCTCTCTCTCTCTCTCTCTCTCTCTCTCTCTGTCTCTCTCTGTCTCTCTCATAGTAATAAGAGTATACCAGTTTCCTTCAGGGAGATTTTAATTAGAAAAAATGTCA